CTCCCCATTACTCCCTCCTGCTCTCTCCTATTGAAGATAGAATAAGAGAATAGTGACAGGACCAGAATCGGTGTGTTTGTTCAGCGTGAAAATAGCAGCTAAAAGTGCTGTTTGAACAGAAATGAAGCAGAATCCTGTTGATATGTTTCATTTTAACTGGCTGTTAAATGGAATAAGACACTTATCTACTTCTTCAAAGGTTCAAATGTGCTTGCTTTTGTGGTGCAAATAGGGTTATTTATTGCTTGACAAAAAAAAAAGGTAAAACCGTTTTCAACAAGAAAAAAGTTTTTTACTTTTCCACTGCAGACAGCTGCAGCTTGTCTTCCAACAACTTGAATTGTTTCTTTGGCACTTAAACTTGTCTACATCCCGACTTTTCATTTATCATTCTGAAGCGAGGGGACTCTGGCAGATTTCCCCTCTTATCCTGTAGTTTTTAAGTTGCCTGCCCAATAGAGGATTCCTATCTTAGAAGTATTTTCAAATGCAGACATATCATCAGGGGAAGAGATATGATGGTTTGAGAGAAGTTACACTGTTTATCCTCTAGATAGGTTAGTTCATGAATAGAAACTCGCATACACACTTTTTTGCCTTTAGTGCCAAGAGTCTCCTTCAAAAAGGAGAAATCGGACAAAAGACCAAGGGCTTGATAACACCCTTATCAAATATAATTTTAATATTCTGCTGTCGCAAAAGCCCTGAAAGCGGAATGCACTGTAGAGGCGAAACGAGATGAGAAGATGAGTGGGAAATGTAAGATAAGATGAAATGAATGAGGGCGAGAGAGGGAGACAGAAAGGGTTCAGAAAGGGAAAGCACTGAAGACGTAGATAAGTCATTGCTAATTTTTATGCTGTGAATAATTTTGTGGTTCCAAAGCAATTTTGTGCCAAAGAACACTCTTTATAAGCCCAATTGTGCGACTGGCCTAATGTGAAATTGAAATGCACCAGAGTGAGCCAGTGCTGGCATCCAGCACAATGCGGCACTGGAACGGAAAAGCGCTACAAATTAATACTCGATGAAATGAATTACATCTGCCATGAAAATAAAGGCTGCTGGGGATCTTTGAGAGGCTAATGTCCTCAGTGTCTGTACTCAGGAAGCAATAACCTCCCTGTCGGTGGTTCAGTTAAGTATGCACACTATCTGAGTGAAAAATATTCCCCTAAACCCACAAGGTCAGCCTGTTACTACCGTTTTACAAACATTGAAATATGTGATCTCTCAGATGCTTCCCAAACATATTAGGCTTTAGGTATTTTATCATGTTGAGTGCAACAAGTCATTCATCTGAAAAGGAGAACAAGAGTATAAGCAGTGACGAACTTTCCAGTCACAGTAAGAGACAGATTGATTTTTGTAAAGCATACCTCAGACTAACAAAGGACAGCCGTCTAGCAAGTGCCAAGCTGGCGCCAGGAGACTGAGAGCCACCATCAATCACGACGAGCATCAATCACCCCTAGCTTTGATTGACTCCGCTGCTGAAGTCATCTTTTGCGGGGACTCTGTCTGTCACCGCAGTAATGATGATCTAAAGCAAGTATTTTTCCCCTGGGAATTTGTTTATGTGCTGAGGCTGCCTCGGATCAGTGCCCGTCAAGTAAATCAAGTGCTCAGCATCTTGAGAGGGCAGGCAAGTGTGTGTATAAAGAGTCTAATGAGTGAATATTCGTTATGTGTCTGTCTGTGTTTAAAGTTTTTATTCAATCCGTCTGCTGTTTGATAATCTCCTAAGATCTTTACCGCAATAGAAATGGATTATGATGGACTGTTGGAAACACAACTTAAATTATTTTCATGTTCATCTTGATTGCTTTTACAGTATAGATCCACATGTTTTTAAATTGTCTCTACATCTACGCCTCACAGGGCCAGCTGCAAATAGGCTGTTCTTTGTTTTGACAATTTTGACAGTTTTCCAGAGTGTCTGTATAGCTATATCGATAGTCAGAGGACATACAGTCAGGGCATTTATTAAGTAGACAGCTTTATTCTTAGAAATAAGATCAATACTATCTGTAATTGTTTGTGTAATATACTACATTGCACGAACTTTTAAAACAATCTTCATTTTTAGCTGTTCTTCTGTTTATTGCCTTTATAAAATACCCATTGTGCTAAAGATCATATATAAAAGTCTGTATTTTTGTTCCCTTTAAATATATATGTCTGAAAGTAAAGATTTCTGTTACCTAGCTGGAAATAAAGATCTCTAAACGAGGTCGTCTCTGATCTCAAGCCTTGAATCTTCAGAGGCCTTTGATTCCCACCAACCTAAATGTCTTCCTCTGTGAGGTTCCTGTAAAGCCACTGATCACTATCATTTGTCACCACAGACCTCTTAGGTGGCTCGGTCTTTTACAGATCATTCCTACCACTATTCCTACCCCCCTCCTGGAAAAATGTTCAAATCCCTCAATGGTAACACTCATTACAGCGAGGGGAATGTCTAATCTTGCTCCTGTATAGTTTCTTTTACCCGCAAAGGAATGAAAAAAGGAAGACCCTTATCTCCAATGATGAATTTACTCTAAGACATAAAAGGGAAAAATCAATGGACCACGGTCGCTCTAAAGTCAGCTGCGTGGGTTGTGTTTGGAGGGGGTGGTATGTGCGTGTGTTAAGCTCCCTAAATGAAATAGTGATATTCAGTGAGCGTAGCGATTTGTGCTCTGGGGTGAAGTGTGTTTGATTCCCATGAGAAGACAACAGAGGTGAAGGGGGGAATTGTAATGGAACTCCAGTGACTTATCAGTGAGACCTGGCAGTCGATTGGTTTGTTTATATTGACTGAGATTCAAGATCCACTTGATATTTGAAGAGTAAATGGGGATTAAAAAAAGGTGAAAAAGAAGAGAGGAAAAAAATAGTGGCAAAACAAGTAATAGTTATTAATGACATAAAATTATGCTAATTAATAGTGCAATCCCAACAAATACTTTTCCCCTATTAATACATCTTTTCCCATCAGAGTCTCCAACTGTTGCCTGGTTCCTTTGTCACTGAATCCTTAAAATCAGACTTATGACTTATAGTCGTATGTGGTTGAAAACACAGCAGAACAACAGTATGCACAATTCACAGATATTTAGTCCAGAGAAGGTTTTCTGTATATCATCGATGACAATCAATAAATTCAAGCCTTAATAATGAGGAAGATATTTTTATACAGTAAAGTTTGCTAATGCTTATATGTTTACTTTATCTTTTTGATTCATAATTCATCTGTTTGTGCAGGTTGACTTAATCATAGAAACAGAACTTAATGAAAAGGTTTTTCTCTTGCTTTGACTTTGCATCAAATTCAATAACTAGTGTTTCAGCTGCAGTCTGTGCTGCTTTTGTGCAAACAAAACATAGGTATAAAAATGGTATTACAATATATCAAGAACAAACTATTAGGAATGATCTGAACTCATTAGTTGAAAATAATATGTTGAACTTAAAACCGTTTTGCACAAGGAAAAAAGTGCATACTGCAAGTGTGGCTGATATAGACTATAGCTCCTTCTCTACTGTAAGCTCCAGGCTTTAAAGCCCCTAGGATTTTTATTACCGGACTATTAGGAATCCTGACCAATTGGTCATGTTCCTTTCTCCATTACTTTGAAAGACCCCAGTGTTTGCCAAAAACGTGATTTGGAGCGCGATTATGAACACAGCTTAACAGACAGTGGGTGTGCATACATGTGTTTCGATACAAACTTTCCCTCCTCCTGCTGCAAGATATAATAAAAACATGTAAGAACGGGCCACTTATTCTGACTACAGTCCACATCCAAGAGCTTGTTTTGGCTAACAGCCTTCAGAACCGCCATGCCGCCAAGTCTGGTGTAGTTCTGGTGAGCATGTATCCCAGGGTCACACCCACTTGGGTATACCAGGGGTTTGTCCGGCGCGCTGATCTGCTACGGTTGTTGTGGTCCTTCAGCCTCTTGTAGTCCTGCTTCATTTTCACCTGCTCTGTGGTGTGCAGAATGATTACAAACAGTCCACCAATCATTGCTCCTTTAGCCCCACCCCTACAAGAGCCTGACTAAGCAGAACAAAGTACTGGGTCACTTGAGATACCAAATCCCCATGAAAGGAAATCACAGGTAATGAAATTAAGTTGGGTAATTCTGTATGGAAAAGTAAAGCAGTATTTGCAAGGCCTCAAAAGCCCCAGGATTTTGAGCTGCTTTGGAAAAGGGGCAAATAAACGACACCAGATATTTGGTGGGAGGATTTTTCAGGACTGCCTGGATCGATCAGTTAGAAACGCTTTGGTAATTGGGATCAGATATGAACATCCTTAACAAGAGATCTAGTTAGGAAGGAACAGAAGAACCTCCCCTCTAAAATCCCTCTACTCAAGATGAATAGTATCTGTAGCTGAACTTCATAGGTCATCAACAGTGAAGGCCAAACTATCAATATCATCATATTTAGGTTTAAAGCTGCCTTTTTTTTATTTTAACCACATTTAGCACTTCCATCAAATTGAGACATTTTGAAGGGAGCTAAATATTTGGGTAATTTTAGGGAGCTATGCAAGGATACTCCTTTTACATTGTTTTGCTTTTTTTTTTTTTTTTTTTACAATCTCTGTCTTATTTCCTATTGAAAAGAATAGAAAAAACATAAATCTATCAGGACTAAATATAATGTGAGCTTAATTTTTATTTAAGCAATGCTTTCAGCCAGGAACTCTTTTGAAGTCCATGTGTTGGTTTTTAAATTATTTTTTATACAATATATTTTTTATGATTTTTAATAATTGGAAAAAATTGTTTGGTGCCTGTGTTAGCAGACCGGATAGGACTCATGCCTATTAAGTGTCTGATTTTTAAGTAAAAAAATAGAGCAGACTTTAAGTTAAAAGTACCATGCTTCAAGATGTGTTATTGCTCAGGACTGAAGTGGAACATGGCAGTACTTACAAAAACAGTCCTGTTATGGATTTATAGTTTGCCAATATTCATCTTTTCTTTTCTATTTCTGTACAGGCCTTCAGTTTGATCTGGAACCAACCATTACGGAGGGAAAACTGGAAGAGAGTCCACGGAGCTCCGTCATGCTGACACCGGTGTCCGAGGTTTCCTCCATGGAGCTGGTCACGCTTTCCCCTCCTCAGATTTCACCTTCCTTGCAGCTCATGGAGACTGCGTCGGACACCAGCACGCCAGAGGGTGCCGTGGTCACAGAGGCCATCGAGGTCACCGAGGCTATATGTCTGAGCAGCGAGTCGTGTAGCGTCGCCGACCCATCCATCACAACAGGGGAGGCCTGTGTGGAAGACAACAAAGACCCCAAAAAGAGCAAAGCTCACCTCCACTGTCCTGTCTGTAAAGTGACAGTCAACTCCCCGTCTCAACTAGAAGCACATAACAGCGGTACATTTAAGTTTTGACCCCAACTTGTGTTCTTTTATGCTCAAACACTAACGTTTTGAAAAGCCACTTACATTTGTTGCTGAAATTTCTCATCCAAAAAGGCTTTGGACAGAAAAGGAACCTGTCAAATCTCTGCTTTTTGTCCACTAGGTACAAAGCACAAATTGATGCTGGAAGGTCACAGTGTTCTCCCGCGGCGCAGGGGGAAAGTAGTGGCGGCTCGAGCTGGCTGCAAGAGCAAGAGGCTTGCGAGCAAAGGCAGCGTTGGGGTGCCTAGCAAGAATTTCCAGTGTGAAGTGTGTGAGATCTTTGTGAATTCTGAAACCCAACTTAGCCAGGTAAAATAAATACATACAGTCTGGTTCATCTATGTTTTAGAACATTGGGCAATATATTTAAGTCTAAGATAAATAAATAACAGGTAGGGGACATGAATAAATCTAAATTAAATATATGGATGAGAAAACCTTCCTATTTAGTTCAGGGTAGGAAGGAATTTGCACCTGTGTTACATCTCCCCATTATCAGCATCAAGCAGGGCGCCTGCTCAGCATAGGGGCCAACTTTAATGCATAAAACCAGTGCAAAACTAAATAATTTCAATATTTCCAGAAATTATTCTCAGAGCAGATGAATCTCAGAAGCAAAATTACACTTGGGTTTCCAAACATCTAGAATATATTATGCATAATATAAAATTAGAAAAGGAAAACCATAAGAATTTAAGATAATCTGATTGGTGCCAGACTGTATTGGTAAATCCCCTTGGTTAGTGTATCTCCTGCATGGTGATCCCGGTCCGCAGTGGTCAGTATCTATCAGAAGTTGTCCGAGGAGGGAAAAAAGATAAACTACGAGGCAGGCTGCCTTATGAAAGTGGGAAGCCAGTTGCAGCATGTAGTCAGACACAGCAGACTGAGCACAAACTGCATCTGTTGGACTTAGAGCTGCTTTGGTGGCAGTAATAAACACCATTTGGCAGATAGTCTTATCTGTGGTTCTGACATTGATAAATAAAGAAATACTACAAAGTGTTATATCATAAATAAATTACTGAACCATTTATGACAAGCGGAAAAAGAACTAGAACTGTAACAGGAAAAAATGACAGGAGAAATACTCTGGAATTTTCTTTTTTTATGGAAATTTAAAAAGGAGCCGTATGAGAGACTACGGGGAAGTCCCTACAGATTTGTCAAGGCATATCAAGCGCGAGTGCTGCAAACCTGATATGAGTTTGTACAAAAGGCCATAGAAGTGATGTTGACTCTGCTGGGAAATGCTCACCATTCCCAAAATGCCTGGCAGTGGAGAAAACTTTGCACACAATTTCCCCAGCTCTGCTCCACTGAGAAACGCTGTGGCTGCAGGATTAATCAGAAAACAGAACTGCTTGCAGATTGTTATCCGTTAAAATGAACACCGGGAGCTTAAAATTGAATCTTTCAACGTCACATCGCATTCACCTCTAATCTGCTGCATTAAAAATGATGTTAGGATAGTGATAAAAATGAATGATGGAGTCTTAAAGACGGTTTAATCCCAAAGCTAATTTTAACTTTGATGCAAGTAATGTGGTAAGCTTTTTTTTAACAGCTCGGGCACATGAATAAAGCCATTAAATGTACATTTAAGCTGCTATTTTTTTAACACCTAAAAGATATCATCTATTAGTTCAACAAAAGGCTCTGTAAGCTGGCGTTTATTTGCCACTTACTTCAAGCTGCTGTGCAATATGCATTTTCTTCTGGATGTATTACCATCAAACCAGGGCTGGGAAGTCATTTCTCTCCTTTTGATGTTTACTTTCTACTATTTATTTGAGTCATGAGGCTGTCTACACTGGAGTGGAATGTGGAAAATATCAGAGAATGCTCTGGCATGTGTAAGAGCACCCAGTCTGCCTTAGCCCTAAATACATTCCACCAGTCTTATATAAACACCCTCCCTCCCAGGAGGACAAAAGCCTGTAGGTACTGCAGCCAGCATGGCAGTGCAAGGCAGCTTCAATGAAGTAATGTAATTTCGGTGCACCTCAGTCATACCCGCCGCTTATTTATTATTCCAGAGGAGAGCGTTTGAGATTGTTCTGCTGTGGTACGACAGATGCTTGTGAGCTGGCTAATGTTTTTTTTTCTGCTCGTCTCGGCAGCACATGAACAGCAGAAGGCACAAGGATCGGCTGGCCGGAAAACCACCCAAACCCAAATTTACCCCCCACAGCAAGAGCCAGCCGAGCTCCAGCTTAGCGGTAAGTCTCAGCCTGAAGACGTGGACAAACAACAACACGGTCACGCAAATAAGCAAGCATCCGCAAACACACTGGTGGAAAACAAAACAAGACATAATTCTGCTTCCTTACTGCAGATATGCTTTAACATGGTGATTGCATCTGCCAGAACTGAATCGTTTCCAGTTACACTCGAAGTTAATGTTGTTTTAACCACAACCCTTCATAACACACAGGAAAAAACACCAAATTACAAGGCTTTTAAAGGTCTCTACTGTGCATCATTTTGTGACAGCATGGCTGTGTCTCTGTAATGTCACAGAGGTTAAACACTCTTATAGTTAGTGAGTCTTCTACCCCTGAGCAGCCGCCTGAATCAGCACTCCAGATTAATCACTTTTCTACTCGTGTCATATACACCCCCCCTTCTCCTCCTCCTTCATCCTGCAGAACGTGAGATGGAGTGGCTATGCAGGCGTGGCCGTGTCTGCCATGAAGAAAGCATTCACCCAGTGCAATCTCACCTCTCTCTCCTCTCAGGTCAGTGGCAGGAGAGGCTGAGTGTTGTTGGATTGGAGGGCAAGAGCTTGTGCTGGCTCAGGTTTAGGACTGACTGTGAACGGGGGAATAAACACAGAAAATAAAGTAGTTTAAGATTGAAGGGGTGGCACTGATCTTGTATTTACAATTACTATAATAATGTGGTTGGTAGAGTTAAAATTATAAAGCTGGTCGACTTTTTTAACAACATAGGTGAACCAAGCATGTGGTAAAAAAGGCAACATTTTTTAGGGTGCATTTTTAGCAGGAAAAAAAACACTTTAAAGTTCTAAAATCTGCATGATTCAGAGGAAGACGGTTTAATAAAACAGTTTGCATCTCATATATGGAGTAGCTTGCAAAACTATTCATGCCCATTTAATGTTTTTGCATTTTCTCCCATTACAACCACTAACTAACATATTCTAAGTGATAAACCAACAAAAATTATGAAATGTTTTCAAAGTGGAAGTTCCCAAGTTGTTGCAAATAACATTTTAAAAGGGCAAATTTGACTACTGAGCGATGACTGCAGGAAGAAAGTTGTGCAAAAGTATAAAGCAGGGTTTGGTTGTCATTATACATCATCTGGAACTAGAAAGAGTTTAGCAAGCAAACCAAGACATGTTTTTTCACTTAAATTAAAAGACAAGAACAAAAGTGCATTAATCAGAGCAACAGAGGCCGGGAAATCTTGGGAGGAGCTACAGAAAACTGCTGCTTTGGTATGAGAGTCTATTAATAGGCTATATCAAATATACAGTTAAACATACAATGCATAATTAAATAAATTTATGTTCCAATGAATAAGGAAAATTGCATTTAAAATGATTTAATAAATGTCATTCAAGTTTTTTTTAGATTAATCGAATTATTTTGCCCTATATTTATAAATAGATATTAAGTGAAATTACTGCATGTATCTTTAGGGGTCGCCTTTCTTCTAATCTTTGGGTTACATGTATGGGAACTGTCAAACTTATTTTTATATTGAGACACTCCCGACTTAAAAAGGTTCTGGTTGAACCTTTATAAATTAAACGTTGGTTATAATTCCATTACCAGAGAGCAAACCATTCTGTTATTACCTCTGCTCCCACTTTAAAGGAACATATACCTCTATTTTATGACATGATGCCCCTTTCTTTACTCTTGAGGGCTGGATAAATTGCTATGGTGAGCTGGATTTGGTCCACAGACCTTGAGTATGCTTTATTTTTTACATAAAATAAAGCATATATGCCCAGTATAAATGAATGGTACAGTTTTTTATTTTTTTTATTTATAATAAATGTTTAAAAAAGCATTATTTGGTTTTCTTTCAGACACAACTTTCAGCTTTTTTTGCTCAGTTGAATCCTTTCTGTGTTTCAGGGGTGTGAATATTTTTGCAAGGCGCTTTATTTTGAAGACTTCTTTACTGATTCATTACTTTGAGAATAGCATTTTAACCCTTTTTGTTCTCTGATATTTTTATCAGGTGCAATCATTGATGAGCATAATGTAGTTTTTGTCACAGTGATCAGTTTCATCTTTATTTATGCTAAAAGGTGTTATTTAGTTTTTCACCTGGAGCTTTCTGCACAATGTAGTGAGCTTCGGGCAGGAGAATCAGCTGCAAACACCCCTAGGATAAGGAACAGAGCTGATGTCCATGACAACATACATGACACTGATTAGGTCAGACACGGTATGAAAAGGAGGAATTGATGCGGTTTGCACTGCCGCCTCCAGAGCTAACAGCTGAACCAGGGAGCTGTCTGCTGATATGAGCCTAAACTATTGCTAATGCATAACTGTAATCAACCTCTGGTTATAAGAGGTTTTGTGTAAATAAAGATGCTTCCAGGAAATAACAGGCTGTCTTTAAAGCATTTTATTGCTGTTTTATATAGTTTCCTGTCCTTTTTTTAAGTGTAAGCTTTGAACAGAAACCTAAATAAGCTTAGTTTGACTTAGTGAGTAAATCATTCATCATAAAAGTAAAATCCATTGACACCTTTTATTTGACTGAGAACTTCAGAGATACATATTTATTTCAACTTCAAGGTAACGATTGTGTCCTTGCCATACTCCTAGATTGTCTTCTATGTCTATGATGTTTATGCAAGTTTGATCACCTGTGGGTAAATTATCTATTTACATATTTTTCATGTAAAATGAAGTCAATATAATTTACTCAAAGGTGTATTGCATTTTCCCTCTATGCAGCTTAGTGTGTGAATGAAGGGCCAATGTTTTGGAGAAACATGTTTGCCCGATCACTGTTGTGTTCTGCCCTCCTTGTCTTCTTCTCTTGCTTCTTACTGTTCCCCCATTCCTGTCTTCTCCAGACCAAACTGGCTTTGCAGAAGCAGCTGACCAAGAGTTTGACAACTGGCTTCCTGCCCAGCCCCCTCACCCCACCGACTCTGTGCACAGTGGCGACAAACCCGCTGGCTCTGCGCCACCCGGTGGGCACCACCACCTTCATCCAGACCCCATTCCTGGGCCCCGCACTGTTCCGGCCTGCCCCGGGGCCGCTGCGGGCCACACACACGCCCATCATCTTCTCCCCTTACTAAAGACTTAACCAAGCGCCCAGTTAAGCTTAGCCCTGTCCCTTTACTAACTCCAAGGCCCTCATGTTAGTGTGACCTCACTACTAAGGTCGCATCCAAACTATGCAGTCCACCTGACTTAAAAATGGGAAGAGTGCACAAATTCCAATTAACCATCAGGCCTGATGGCTTGAGAGCTCTTCTCATTATAGAGGCCAAGTTCCCCCATTAAGCCTTCTTTCTGCTCCTTTTATTGTGACCTCGGGAGCAACACAGGCCTCCAGACAGTGACTGACACAAAGGGGCCACTTTTATAGCCATTTCATGGGTCGACATGGTTTAAATTATGAATATTATTGTGTAATCTATTATAAAATATATAGAGAAAAAAATCTAGATGTATGTTTAGTGTGGTTGCCACAAAATAAGGTCCCTTTACTTGATGCTCTTAAAACTTTTATCTTATATGTTTGGAGGTTTGATGTCGTTGTAGGTCCTTAAAGCAGCTGAAGCAAAGCCATACGTGTATGGCTGCAGAGGCCAGTCTCACTCATCACTGTTTTTAAGCTGACAAACTTAAGCCATGCTGTTGCATGGCATTGTGGATAGGGATAAAACCATACCATGTCTTAGCTTAATGGTAGTGTTCAGGTTTTTACTGCGAGATTTTGTTAAAAGGTTATAAGGAGTTAATGTCTTACCAACAGCAGATGAGCCTCTTAAGCTGCCGTCACACTGCTTTCTATCCTGCTGTGTGCTGGCATTTGGAAAAGAAACTTTATTTGGGTTTAAATGTGAATATATTAAGGTGATTAAATGTTTCACTTTTGATGCCCTCTCGGTTTGAACACTGCACATGTCTCGGGATCAATAGTGTGTAATTTAGTGTTCTGCTGCATCAGAATGTTGCATGCTACTTATTTTCATACCAAAGACTTAGCTGAGCAGGGAAGGAAATTGCTATGCTCTACTGCTACCAAGGGGTCACATAATTATTGACTGATTGAAAAAAGAGTAGGTTATTCCTTCCCTTTCCTCAGACAAAAGGTTTCCTTAGTTATTAGTGGGTCATTCCTAATATGTATGAGCAATATATGTAGAGTGTATACTGTGTGTAAGAGCTGCAGAGCTCCTGATGCAGAATATCCCAACATGTCCAAAAAAACTGGCACCCTGGATTACCAGATCATATGTTTGCTGCAGTGTCAAATAGCTCTGCTTAGTGAGGGAGCATCTGTGAAAACACAAGGCAGATATGCAGTGGTGTGACAAGGTATTTAGTGCTTTCATTTAGTATAAATCCAGATTAGTTGGTCCTGAGCTTCAGCTTATATCTAGCCTAAAGGGAGCCAAAGTGGAGGTCTTCCTTCTTAAAACATCTGCCTAAAATAACTGTCACAGCAGTTTAGGCCAATTATATATTGGATAACCATTTTGTTGTCACGCTAATTTTTGATAAGTTATTTATAGAGAAGGTGCTGATGATTACTGCAGGATAGAGAGGCAGGAGATCTTGCACCTTGATTGATCCTACTGTCTTAAAAGTGTGGAAAACACAACATGGAAATAATTTCAGGTCAGATTATAGATTATCAGAGTAAATGGACAGAAAGTCATTTAAAAATCAGAAATATTTTGAAGGTGAATGTGAATACTGAATACTCGTTCTGGCAGATACACTGACAGGAAATGTGTTACATTCATGATCATTGGCTTTAGAGTAGATACTCCCCATTATAAATGATATTACATGCATAAAAAAGCATATTAGTATTCATTGTGATATTTTTAACACAGGAGTTAACTGTGTCACAGTTGTCGGCGATGCTGCCTTGCAGCAAGGACTATGGCTTGAATTTTTGGGTCTGTTATGAAGACTGGTCTTTTTTTTCTCCTTATTTTTTTATTTTATTTGACCCCTCTCAGACTGCCCATTAACATCAGCCTCTGAAACCAACTACTCTGGATTTGAACTAAATAAAAAGGCTACGTAGGACATTAGCTGCCAATTAACCTTTAAGCATTAACTCACTTCAAAAAATCCAAATATTAGTAGGTTGTTTGTCTGTGTCAAAATAAAAAATTTAAATAAAAAAACAAAAAAAGCTATTCTTTCTTTTTAAATAAGAAACACAACCCCTGCTTCACCATGTTATCCATGATTAAGCAGTCATTTGTATCCAAAAAAGGTCATCTTGTCAACTAGACTTTCTTTCAGTTTGCAAATCTGCTCCTTGGAATCTGAATCCGTGCTTCAGAGTACCGTATTACTCATGCAGTGCAACTTGGGATTACGCTCTTCCTTAAGTAGCGGCATGAAAATATTTTTTGCAGCCATAGATGTCCTATCCTGCAAAATTTCCCCTTTTTTTGCTCTCATCCTCACTTCTTTTTAACCCCATTTTCCTTTCACCTCGCCGCCATCACCTTAATGTTGCCCCCGATTTTCTTCTGCTGTGGTCATAGTTTGAGACGATGAGAAGCAAGGAAATGACGCACACAATCAAAGCACATAATGAGACTATAATGGATGGCATGAAGATGAAATATTTGATGACGCGGGTGGGAAGGCCACTCAGCCACATTCTGATTGACATCCCGGTGCGTGGGGGGGGGGATACAAAGCACAGTGCCATGGCAACCACATTAAAAAGCACCTTAAAACCGATTTACTTACAAAAGCAATGAAAATAGCATTGATGTTCTCTTTATTTGTTTGTAGGTGTATGTTTTATGAATTTAATAGAAAAACAATCAACTGAAAACGATCATTTTATAGTTTACCTGTAATAATGACAAGCCTCATATTTAAAGCAATACATTCAGTATGTTTATGTTGATGGTGTGTCAATGACTTTATCTATTCTCTGCTGTAAACTCCTCATACAATGTGTTGTACAACCCATGACAGCCAAGGCCAACTCTGGTTTGTCAGTAAAGAGTCGACCCAAACAAAAAGCAGTGGGACTGCTGCCCTTGATGTTTGATGCTCATGGCCATTCTTCTCACGAGAAAGAGGCGAGAGGCGCCTAAAGCACCATATGACACTGCCGCTTCATGCATCAGCAGGGCAGTAGGGATCTCTGTATGGCTTCCACCGAGCAAAACATTGTTACGTCAGAGACGAGTGATGTGGAAGTGTCACATATGCAGCATCGACTTGTCATTGTGCTGTTTGTGCTCGTGTGCCGACTCCCACGCAGGATATCTGCTGACATTCTTTCCTTTCCTTATGCTGAATACAAACTCTTGGCAAGGTCTCAAAAAAGGACTTGGAGCGCATGTTTCATTCTCCCTTCAACAGTCTCACCGAATCATGTTCTCTTAACCTACAGGAACCTATGCATCTGTGCAACGTGTGTACATGTGTTTGACGCAGCAGTGCCACCTGTCGTAAATAACCTGTAACTGCCATCCAGTGCTTGTGATTTAAGAAAACCCTTTCATTCATTGTGCATTTATGTTCTAAGGACTCCCAAGCCTTTTTCTGGGTTGGTAAAACCGCCAGGTCTCCTCGCCATAATGATGTAATGGTTCTCTCCAGTCGCATTTCTCAGTGAACCAGCCAGCCTTTAATCTTCACTGTTTGTTTCTATCAATTGCTCAACGGGAACTATGACCTAGGTGACAATTTTGTTAAAACAAATAGAGAAAAGGCCAATTATATGTATAAATAGTAACTATAAAGACCTTAACAGAGTTATTATTGTTATCTGTATTGTAACTATTATAGAACAGAGTAGATGATGTTATTGTTAAATCTCTGTATGAAAATGGAGGAAAGTTTATTTTTTTTCTTTATATGGTTTTACCAACATGTTTTTTAAGGTACAAGAGAAAATATTTAAAATGAAAAAATTTGAGTGAGCTTTTCTTTCCACCATGCTGGCAGTTACTGAAATAATATTGTAATTTTAGGCCTTTTATAGACAATATCCTGAAGTTGCATTGACTAGGCCTTCTCAGGGGTGATAGGTTGAGCAAACGTTAACATGGCCATCCATTCAGGGTATCCCTCCATTGCTCCAGAGAGCAGGAAACACTGTAAACATGGATGAAACGATGAGAGACATATTGAGCAAATACAGTTATGTATATTATAAGTAAAGTTAAAAGGATTTGGGAAATAAAGCTTTTTCAAACTTGTGAAATTTGTCTTTACTTATTCTGGAATTATATAGAATGTGTCTCTGTGTCTGTGAGCAAAAGTTGAGAAAAAAAAGCATTAGTGTTGCAGGAAACAAGATACATTCTGAGAGTTTATGGACAATAGCACTGCAATAAGAAAATAAGACCCCCCTCTCTTCCAAAGAGTACACCACAAATATAAAAGTCAACCAAAATGTCTGGTTCTTGATGCAGTTTTCTAGATTACATCAAGACAACGTTACAGACACTCCCTAGCATGTTTAGATTTTGTGTTTTTTAAGCTGATAAAGTGTTTGGTAATACTGTTACTTTAGTTGCAGCCTAAAGGTTGTCACAAAGCACTAACAATCAATGCTCTTTATCAAAATACAATGAAGATTTCTGCTCTCCTTTGCTTCATTTCTCACCTGGGGGGAATTGCACACATTCAAATAATGTAAGTAGACTGGTTACAGAGTAAAACGGGAAGTTATTACTTTTAGGTCCGAGTCAAGCTGTCAAAATGCTGTTTTGCTGTTTGTGACGAAAAACAAGCAGCATGAATTTAGGTCTACGTCTAAATTCTTATGCATTCTGCGCAAACAACACTCCAACATTTCAGTATCCTTATGTTGGTCATCAAGGTGTTTGCTCTTCTGCAGCACAGTTACAACTGGTGGAAGTCCAAAGGTCCTTTGATTTTTAGGCAAGGCAAGGCAAGTTTATTTGTATAGCACATTTCATGTACAGAACAATTCAAAGTGCTTTACATAAAACATTATAAGCAAAAGGGAAAGAAAACAATAAAAAACAATTAAAACCGTGATTCAAAATTAAAAACATTTAAAATTAAAAAGAGAGAATACAGAGACGGGCGAATTTTAACTTTTGAATAAAATCTACGTAAATGCAGCTGAGAAACTAGGAAGTTTGGGGAATTTTGTGAGAAAACTATAGTTAAGAAGTGAGACCCATTGTAGTAGAATTTTGATATGACTTAGACAAACTTTATTATCATTTAGTTTAAACAGTGTATACAAAATGAAATTTTTTACATACAGCTTTCCGACAGTGAATGAGCAGCAGCTTAGTAGTAAAATTAACATTTCAATTTCCAAGTTCAGCAGTGATCAAAATGTAAACAGAGAGACGTGCAAAATAAAAAGATAGATATGGTGCAAAATGCAGTAAAAACACTGAGTTGAATTCTGTTTTAAAGATTCACCATGTAGTGCAAGTATAATGCTTACATCCTGGAAAGCAGCAAAGAACGTTATGCTCCAGGGAGAATCATGGCTGCCTTCACACTGACTAGATTTTGAAAATTTGCTTTAATAATAATCAGTGTTGTTAAAACTTTGAAGACAAGATGGTGGTTCTCAACCTGATTTAAAGTGGACAATACGTACTCAATTCAAACCTTTTAATGGTTCCATATCCTGCTTTTTTCAATCTTTCAAAGTCACTATGGCAAATATGTGATGACATAATCCCTTTGTTAAATTTTGGTATGAAATGTAGCTGTCTTCCAGCCCCTAAGAAAAATACAGGGAGGGGCTGCTGTTCAAACAGCAGAACTGTGAGGATTATTCAGAGATGCATGAATCAAGTGAAATACCACTGTGCATGAAATTGATCAAGCAATATCATTATAATGTTGTTACCAGCTCATAAAAGTTGATTTTTGCTTGATATAGGTCCTTTAAATGTGTTTTTATCTAAATTAATGAGTCAGATTTTGAGTTAAAAGAATTAAATCCATACATGAAGTTATCGAAGTCTGTACATACAAGCCCATTTGCTTTTTTTTCTGTTGGTTTGCTTAATTCACATGATCCTTGAACATGACAACCCAAAGCCTTCAATAACCAGGCTTTTTATGGAACCTGTGTAACAGCTGCAGAGGTTTTAAGCAGATATGGAAAGCACCCAGCAAATGGAAAATGTTAAACCCACTGTTGCAGTGGATGAGTGGTTGGTTAATACACCTGAGAGAATGATTCGTTTTGGGTTCTATTTTTATTTTTTTTATTGTTATTTGTTTGCAAACCTGCAACATATAATCTCCTTAGAGGCCTGCAGAGGGTTCATTACAAAACCTTCCATCAAATAGGATGGGATTTATTTATTAGCAAGTCTAGATTATTAGTGGATTTTTTTCTGTTAATTTAAAACATGTAACATTTTGTATGAAGCAGAGCACTTCAGATGTATAATCATGTTTTAATA